ATTTTGTATTGTTGTTTTTGAAATGTAGTTTACTATCTATAGTGAAGTTAGCTTTCTTGTTATTTTGTATATGGCTATAAGTTGAAATTATATTTAAAGCTTTCAAATACAAATCGTGGAACTGTTGAAATAAATAAATAAATAAACTTTTTGCAGAAAAATAGAGATAGAAAAAAAAACAAACATAAACGCTACAAATTCAGCGTGGTACAAAAATTACATCCTGGAACTGGAACTCAAATTTTGGAAATTCAGTTATATGGCCCCACGTATGGGTAGTATTTAATAGTTTGCTTCATACTAGAAATGTCCATATAATTTTATACTTTTGAAGCTAGTAACGACAAGATACATTGCCGCATTTCTTAGATGTTCCTCGGGCACAATTAAAAGAAATCTATTTACAAGAGGACAGAGCTCTGGCACATATTTCGCATGCCTTATTTAGGGGAAAACTTCCCTGAACGATGGATTCGACATATAGACCTGTTCAATGACCTCCTAGATCTCCTTTTTTTCGGGAACTATGGCTTACTGTTCACAAAACTTTAAATTAAATCTATATTTTTTAAAATATTTATACCCAACTGCATGGCTAGACTTAAAATTTGTAGTTTAGTCGTTATGCTGTAGAGCGGAAAGCAGATGTGCCAACTAATTAAGCTCTATACGGACCAAGTAATCTTAGTCCGTTACTTAAAGTAAGAAATAGTCAAAAGTTTAAATTTGGAAAGAGAAGAAAAATGCTTTGTCTGATAAGAAAGTTTCAGTGCTGGCGCTGGTTCAGATGCAGTGTATAATTGTAAAATGGTTTGCTTTTAAATTATTATTTTTTTAAAAGGCGCCACGAGGAACTACCGATTCAAGTATTGAAAAGTTAAGCTAGGGAAAATTTTAGTTTGGCCGAAATCAAGTTATTGATTGATAAAATTATTTTCCTTTACAAACATATAAAAATAAAAAAAATCCCGCGGAAATTAAAATTGAAACTAACCAAAACAAACCAAGAATTCAGAGCAAACATCGGTTTTAATGTAACTGATTTCGACTATTCTAAAGCCCGGAAAATGGCAATGATACATTTCTGCCAAAAAATGTTCGTATTTCTATATTCGTAAAGGCTTCTCAAGACAAAGATTCCTGCTAAACGAAAATTGAGTCAGAATAGCTCTTATTCACTCAACATTTTTTTATTATTCATTAAATGCCGCGTAATAAATACAAGTTTAAAAAGAATAAGAAATTCAAATTAAAGTTTAAAAAAGTTAAAATAGATAAAATACAGTAGTATTGAGGCACACAAAGAAATAGGACCCTTTTATTCTAATCCCCAATTCGGAGGATCGCAACCGTCCATTCTTAGATCTTCTAATAGTCGCGTTCCACTATATCTAGGCTACGACGCACCCAAAACTGCCTTTTTCGTAGCCTTCGTTAATTTTTGCCCAAAAATAATTACCCACGCCGCTGCTGCGAGCGTCTTTCTCGCCAAAACGATTCATAGTTATTAAAATTACAGTGTGGACACCACCCGGTTTTCTAAAAAAAAGTGTGTCCCAGCAAAGAACTGTCCACCCCTGTAAAATCTTTGTTTATGGTTTGATTTTGATAATTTTTGTTAGATAGGTCTTTGAAAAATGCACTAAAACCTTGTTTTACTTATTGTTTCAACTTAAAGTGATGGCCAACTGAGACTATTTAACAAAACAGAGAGAGGAGAGAAGTACTATTAGCGATTTAAAAAATAAATAAATTGACAACGAATTCTTATTCAGCAGTACTTAGAACCATATATATATACCAACTTTACCAACCAACCAACTTTTATAATGTTTCAATACAGGGTGTTCGAAATATCGTTTACGCCCCGCTTAAGGCTGTACATCAGTCATGGCTAACTTCTTATGCTCGAAATATCGCGGGCGCCTCTTTTAAGCATTACTCCTGTAGAATTTTTGATTATGGCTCAATTTTGATAATTCTTTTTTGTTGGATAGATCTTACTAAAGAGAAATGAAACGGTTTTTTTTTGTATAGCATCGACTAAAGTCATCGCTAACTGACACAGTTTTTTGAAGCCGATAATCGAGAAGCAATTTTAGAGATTTTTTCAAATGGAAAGTGACAACAGATTTGTGTTCGGGACTACCTAAAAGTAACTAGTCCAATGACCAAGGTTTTTAATGTTTTAAAAAAATAAATATTGTAAACGTTGTAAGTAACGATTATTTTGTATGTGATTTCAAGATCTGACAAATTTAAATTATACAAATTTCAAAAATAAACCTTAGTATTCGACAGATATAAACAAAATTAAAATATGAATTAGCGAGTGAATTTGAATGTCGAATATTCGCTTCTCCATGGCAAACTTGATTTTACAAAGGAAACAGAATGCCGACGTCAATCAATATTGATATTTCTGTTACTTTTATTATTAGATGAGAATTAAACAGCCTTTTTAATTAAAAAAATACAGCGTTGTAAAGTCTGTTTAGTTCATATCTAATCCTCGCCAATTATATTTAATTTTAGCAAAATCGTTAATGTCTTTCAGTGAAATCTATCCAACAAAAAAGAATGCTTAAGCTAGGCTCCCGCGATATTTGGAGCACCCTGTATTCGAACTTCATTGAAATTAGTATGGTTAGGTTTTATGTAGTCCTGAATAAGAATTCGTTGATTCGAAGATTCTTTAAAAAATAGTCCCAGTTGGCCATGATGGTTGATGTAATAAGAAACATAAGGTTTTAGTGCGTTTTTGAGACATCTATCCAACCAAAAAATTTTACAAGGGTATACAGTTCTTAAATGGGACACTCTGTATAACATGTAACATGTTACGGCATCGAAAGTATTGGGAGATCCGCATAGCTCTATATTTGCTAATAACGGAGATTCCATGCATTTACAACCAAAATGGAACACAGTGTATTTATCAAGTAGTAATTGTTCGGCTAGAATCACTTCTTCGCAAAGGACGAGCGACACTTTGCGCGATTGATTTTACCTGCCGCGATGGAGGTCTATTCAGCGATAAATTTCATCATACGGCGATGCATATTAATGTCACGTCGTCGGCGTGTAAACACGACGACGCGACGGCGGCGGCAGGCGGACCGCCGATTCGTGCACTTCCTGTATAATCGGGGCATCAATCACCACTCCGGGGGTATCCGGTTTTTTATGGCGCGCGACTGACTATTTGCTAATCCCCTGCTCGGTGAGAACTCGCGAGTCCTTAATTCGACCTTTAAACCGTGGAGCTCGATGCAATATGGACGGATTTAGTGTGGACGCAATCGCGTAAGGCAATATCCGTTTTGGCACATTTTTTTCTGGCACCAAATTGCGATTTAATAGATTTAAACCAAGAAAGGCGCAACGTTTCGGCCCGATGTATGTTGTAACCTCTATTGTTTTAAGTGAATTGTTTCTAAATAAGACAAATCCATCGGTATTAATTGATCGTTTCATCAAATACAAATAAGACACTGAAAGGGTTCTAAGTTTTTCCTGGTTTGTCGTAACGGAGAGTATTAAAAAACAGTTTTAAGAGCTGAGGAGAACCCTCTAAATATGTAATGAACAACATATTTTTGTCGGGAACGACCTAGTTTTCTGTCCTCCATTTCAAACCATTCCCGCCACTTCTATTTGAAGACAAAGAGGTCACTATTTAATAGTCTTAGGATATTACCTTTTCATTTTCAAATTTCATTTAACATTTCTCTTTTACACAAGAAACAAAGGTTTACTTAAAATTGACTTAACAATGATTTATAGCCGTTAAGGAGGTACAATCCCAAATTATGCAACTGTTTACTAATTCAATAATTAATAAACAATTTCCTTTTCCGGTGGATGATCTTCTTAAAAACGAAACTTTTTGGTTGGGATGATTTTTTCACATACAAATTGTAAGTGTATAATTTTGTTTCATATTTCTATGGCCACCACACTAGAATAGGCCCAGTAATGCGGTAATAACGATTTTATGAGGCAAATTTAATTTAGAGGGGTATTAATAAGTATATTTTACTTTGTAGTACTGTCGATAACTGCAATAAAAAAGTGTTTTATATTATTTCTCATTTTTTTTTGGTTAAATCGTAAGGGTCTTTGTGATATCATTTCAATCCTGCAACCTTCTTTAAATTAAGTAATGTAATATTTTTTAAGATAGTAAATTCTTGCGTTGGACATGGTTGGAGTAACGCAGACATCCTGTAACAAAAAGTTTATTTTTTCTTATGATAATCTTATGAAACCTCCCAAAATTCCGTTCAACGAATTTAGAAAATATATATATGTATGTATATATATATATATATATATATATATATATATATATATATATATATATATATATATATATATATATATATATATATATATATATATATATATATATATATATATATATATATATATATATATATATATATATATATATATATATATATATATATATATATATATATATATATATATATATATATATATATATATATATATATATATATATATATATATATATATATATATATATATATATATATATATATATATATATATATATATATATATATATATATATATATATATATATATATATATATATATATATATATATATATATATATATATATATATATATATATATATATATATAGATATACGAATATAGTAGGCTGTGGATGATCACTAAAGAAAACATGATCTTAAATGGGTATACATTATTTGATTACGCACTGCCTTGTATATTATAAAAAAGTATGCACGGATCTGTTTTGGTGTCGCTATCGGCATTAGGTCAAATCCATATTTAAGATTCATATCAATAGAAACGTCTGCTACTCCTATTTAAGAAACTAACGACTTAAATATGTGCGCAAATAAACACATTTGCTAAGTACTATATTTATAGAAACCAATTACTTGGCGTACGAAGCAGATGTCACGTGGTCTAGTACTCTCATCATTATTACGATATACCTACTCGGTGCAGGTTTTGTAAAATATGTGTGGCTTTGAAATTACACAAAAGAAGCGATATTCAGTAAGTAAAAAAATATGAAAAGAGAGATAATTGACAAAGATAATTATATTATTAAATATTCGGTTCTATATAACCCTAATTATTGATACTACTGGTCTACAGTTAAAAAAAAAACTTCGCAATTTGCGAACATTTAAATCATTGTAACCAAATAAGGATACCTTGCTATCCAATATCTTGTGGTTTGGTGCTTAAAAGGGTTTTGATGAACAACTAACCACAAAATTATTGACCTGTGTTAAATTCTTGGTAACGTTAACTTCTTATTCGTTTTTTTGAATTCTTTCGTCTGACAACTCATATATCACCGGCAGTTTGAGGTTACCCCAAAAAGGAAGATAACTAAACCATTTAGGGATTATATTATGTGATAGACAATATAACGGTGCCGAATTTGAATACCGCAAACACTGCAATAGTATATTATTCAAGTTTGATAAACATAATTTTTGTTACGATTTGGCAGAACCGCAGCGAGTGTTTGATAAGTGAGTGACTGAAGAACTTTATCAACCGGATGCATACTATGATTTCTCTACTACCACTAGTGTTTGGGTACATTTTTTCAACCACGAATACAATCACTAAGTGACCCGTGACTCATGTATCGAAACTCTTGCCGGTTTTAAAAAACGTTTGTTTTCACTAGGATGCTATTTGAAAAAACTAGATTATCCCACAAAATTATTAAATAATTTTTCAATTATATGAGTATTTATTCTATTTATTTATTGTAATGGGTGTTATTAACAAAGTGGATATATATATATATATATATATATATATATATATATATATATATATATATATATATATATATATATATATATATATATATATATATATATATATATATATATATAAGAAGAGATAACGATGGTGGGTATTTATTATTAATTAGTAGGTTCCTTAATAACAATAAGTTCTCATTTAACAGACTATGGTGACAAATTTTTTTAATGCGATCAGTCAATGCTACAATCATATTGATCGTTAATAAATAAAATTCTCTCCTGTAATAGTGCCACTACAGACCTGCCTAATGCTTTACAACCACAGCTTAATGTTAATAATGAGTTGCCTAGTTTTGGCAAACTATAGTATATAGATAGATTGTCCCCGGCTCTGATTAGGATCTTTAAAGATACTAATATAAAAATTGCCAATTACAACTTAAGACCCCTCAAATCTTTCTATTCCAATCTTAAAGACATTACCCCATCGTTACATAAATCAGACGTTGTATATTGCATTAAATGCTCTTGCAATTTAATTTACATTGGTCATACTTCACAGAAGTTAAAAAAACGGCTAACACTTCATAAAAGTGATTGTAAGTTAAAACCAAATATTACTAGTTTAAGTGCTCATGTCAATGATACCGGACATAGTGTCATGTACGATGAAGCGGTAGTATTAAAGAGTGAAAAGAACCTGTTCAAACGTAAGTTTTTAGAGATGTGTTATATTAACTGTTGTAGTAATAGCCTCAACAGAAAGAAGGATGTTGAGGGTCTTAGTAGCATCTACACCTATCTTCTTAATCAGAGTCGTACTGCAAAGCATAAGCTACCAGAGTTTTTTGATACGGTCAGGTTGTAGTGGGTTGCTAAATTTGTTGCTATTAATGTTTAAAAACAGTTTCCTTTCTTTGTTTCTTTCTCCCCGTTCCTAAAGGATTGTTTCTAATTACCCTTAACGTTAACTTCAATAATGTAAACATAGTTATATAAATAGTGTACAATGGGTGCATATTTGAAAGAATTCTGTTTGAAATTCCCTCCCTTGTTCGGTGTTTTACATATGTTATGGTTGGCTGTACAGTTGGTATCATTGACTGGTTTTTTGGTTGTGGCTTTTTTAGGTTATTGCGAATTGTTAATAAGTTCCCGCACATTTAGTTTTCCTTCTCGACAATACGGAGTGTCAATTGTAACAAATCGGCTGTTTTTTTTTCTTCATCTTTTAATATTTTATCAATCCGGATATTTTATTGACCTTAACGTTTTATGTTAGTGGGATTGTTTTGTAACGTTGTGGTGGATGTTAATATTTTTTACAATTGTAAATTTTTTCCATAAATTTCATCCATCGAGTGTTATGTTGATAGTTAGAACGGGCGAAACACTTCATTTTATATACCAATGTCATCTCTATATGTAGAGGTTGAAAGAGGCGTGTTGTGTAAGTTTTTTTTTTCACTATTTTTTAGTTAGAATGTTAACTCTGATGAAGTGTTTTTTTGTTCTCTATATGACTTAGTGTCGTGATGAAGCCTGTATCCATGGGCGAAAGCTAGATATTACAATAAATTGCCACTTTGCTTTGAGCTTCAACATCTTTTATTGCTCCCTTTACGGCGATCCATCGAAGTTGGGGTGATCCCAATAATTAACAGTTTGTTTGTAATATAATATAATGTAATGTAATGTAATATATATATATATATATATATATATATATATATATATATATATATATATATATATATATATATATATATATAAACAAACAAACTGTTAATTACAGTAGAGTAGAGAAAAAGTAGAGTATGCAATAGGTTCGGTAAACATTTTAAATCACTCGTTTATTTACCGCACTTGTTGCAAAAAAACAAAACACATACTGTTCTATTAAATCGAAAAAGTAATAAGACTAGATCGTGGCTGACGTTATTCATATCATTTGATGAACATTTTATGGTTTTCTTGAACTTTCAACCGCAATTGCGCAATCTTATATGGTAATAAATTTTATCAAAACTGTTCTATATTGATGCCCTTGGGTAGGCACGTTTAATGTATGGGTAAAAATGCATTGCATTGCTTGTATTCCTTAGGCATTGACCTTTCTTCGTATATACCGAGAAATGATAAATCGACGTGATAAAATATTGAATATATACGCGCTGCGTACATAACTGATTTCTTGATCGGGAGTTCCTGTTACTCTCACTAGTTCCTCCTAGACTAGTTCCTCATTATTTCTTGGGAGAATTTTTGAGAAGGATGAAACATGCGATTCACTGGATTATAATATGCAGCTCCATCAGGCGGTTTAAATTTTTGTTACCGTTATTATTTCATGTTTAAATCAACGCCGAGGACACAGTTTATAATGTTTTGTTTTTAATGTAAAAGTTTTGCATGAAAGCGTAACATAATTGATTATAACAAGTTGAATTAATTTGGAGTTTTCAAGACATCTAAACAAATATCCATATCGTTTTTTTGGAAAGTAATTCCATTAACGATTGACTATATCTAGTTTCTTAAAGCAGGAGAGCAATAAAATGTAAATTTGCAACGACAGGGATCATTAAATAGAGTGAGCAACTTAAATGTTATATCGTAAAGTTCAGATAAATTGCAGGGATAGTTTCCGATAAATTATTCTTTTCAATATTTCAGAATCGTTCCTCATTTACAGTTACACTAAAGTAACGTTGCCGCAGCCTTGCTACAGGTAGTTTATTATCCTTGGTTACTCTAATTATTCTAAGATCAAGTAAATGAAAAATTATGTAGAGGTAAGAATAATATCAAAGTAAATAAAATATAATAAATATTATTACTAAAAAAAACAATCTACTATACTACTACAAAACTATTTACAATACTACTTAAGTTGTAAATTTTAGTCATAATTTTCCGAGTAGTCAAATGAACTGCAATCGTCGGACTTTAGAGAAATAATAAGGGACACTACAGTGTTTTTTTCCCCTATTTCACATGCTCGACGCGCTTACCCATTTTTTAAAAATCCGCTGTTTTTCTTCCTTTTTACACGAGGGTTTCAACGTCCCTAATTATAAAAGTGGTTATACGGCTTGCTAGAAAACCCTATTACTTGTACCCATCCAATTCTATGGGGTTTAAGTCACAGTGATATGGTAGATTTCGTCGACAACAAATTTCGTACAAAGAGGTGTATTCAAATGTGTAGCTTCAGCATATCTGAACTTACTTCTTATTTAAAGTAATCCAATAAATGATTTTTCTTTCAAAGAAACTTCCACAGGCTACTGTAATGCTTTTTACAAAACTTCTGGATTCCTCCTGCATCGGTTTTTGGTTAATCGAAATTGCTGACGTTTCGCCAATCATCCTGTTGGCTTCTTCAGAGCTTCAGCTTAAAAACTCAGTTTCAGTCAAGCTCTGAAGAAGCCAACACGATGATTGGCGAAACGTCAGCAATTTCGACTAACCAAAAACCGACGCAGGAGGAATCCAGACGTTTTGTAAAAACCAATAAATGATATCTTTTTTTTGTCAACAAAACGTGGGTATTTTTCGGATTTTCTTAAGTAGTAATTATAAATGACTATAATATATAATATAAAATATTATACGAGAATAAGATTTATGTCATGTCTTAGTGACAGTTTCCAGTTCGTTTTAGTCAGATAATAAATATTCCTGTTTTCGCTTCAAAACTGTCAAGTGCTGAGTACAGTCTCCTTTTGATGGTGACCTAATGGGCCGCCTTTATCTTCGGTATATTCTTGACTGTCCAACTCCAGTCATATTCGAACACATTTCAACTAATGTTAAAATTAGGAATGTTGAGTAATAATAATAATTTTGCTATTTTTGAAAGCGCAGTTTTACTAATCCTTTTCTCAGCAACAAATTCAGAAAGACTAGCCATTTTCAAGGGCCAACTTTGCCAAAAATTGCCGGAAAATAACTATAGCGCCCATTTTATACATTAGATCGCAGGCAGGTCATAACTAAAGTAACCAAAACTAACCAAAAAAATCATCCAAGCACAACCGGAATGAATCCATTTGCAGCTTAGATTGGCACCCACTCTTTTCTATGAGGTTTTGCTAATTCCAGGGTTGATGCAATAGAAGCCAATAGTACTCGCATTATTCTATAAACTTTTAACTAAAATTTAGACACAGTTAAGAAATGTATTTAAAAGTAAATGTAAAATTGGGTGCTTTTATCTAACATTAAATACGACCGGTAATTTAACTTAAGATTCTTTTATAA